GGGAAGATCTACCAGCTGCTGGGCCAGATTGAACTGGTGGACATTTATGTTCAGGTCTGATACCAGTGTTTTCATTTGTAGCCATATATGTGGAACTTTGGTGTTGTCTTAAACTTTTATTATTCTCAGAATTGCAAGTTTACATTGAAAACTATGTCAGAGATCATGAATATCTCTCAAATTCCATCCATCCATTCGTCTTCTTCCACTTATTCTGGGTCAGGTTATGGGGATAATAGCCAACTCCCCAGTCACTTCCTCCAGTTTATCAGGGAAACACTGAGGCATTCCCAGGCCAATCAAGAGATGTAATCTCACCAGTGTGTCCTGGGTCTGCACAGAGTAGAAAAGTACTATATAAGAATTACTCCACTTACCACAACTCTTAAGTCAGATAATCAGCAAAGAAAATGTGTGGACGAAAGAGCGGTCTTCACAGTTTTAGCGATTTCAGCTTTGGCCAAAATGAAATTCGTTTATCATGCACTGAAATCCTGTATTTCTGGTGTTTTCAGGCAGCTCAGGATGTAGCTTTGAGCACAGGAGACACAAGCTTTATCTTGAAGCTTCTTGAAACCGCAGGAGACATTTTCTTCGACAGCTGCCGGGACAGAGACAAGGCTGTCATCTTCTACAGGGTACTTCATATTAGAATAATGTCATAGTACTCTTGATTTCAGTCATTCTTATGTAGGATTAGATTATTTATCCATGTTTGTTAAAACTTTTTCAGCATTATTGTGCTATGATGATATTACTGTAATTTCTCCAAAAGTGGTGCAAACTAATAAAAGCTTAGAAAAAACTATAATTATCATAATTAAATGGCTGTATTTTTATGTTCGTTCCATGTAGGACCGTGCTCTGCCAATCGCAGTGAAGAGCAGCAGCCTTCACAGTAGACTGAGGTTGTGCAATAAGCTCACTGAAGTGATGTTCTGTCTCAAGCTGTATGGGGAAGCAGTGGAGTTTGCTCACGTTGCAGCTGACATCAGTAAGAGTCTGGGTGAGCAAAACCAGCACACACCAAAGTCGTTTCCATCTTTTGTCTTTCATGAAGTGTGTCAACACTGGACCAAAGTGTATTCTCTGTACTTTTCAAAACTACTGCTACTATAATTAAAAGCACTTTAAAGATGCAGCTTCACCCGGTGTTCTGATAAAACGTCCTACTTTGGCAAAACGTCCTACCATAAGTAGTTTATGCACATTTCTGCTGTCACAGAGTAATTCCAGCACAAATGTAAGTAGGTATGATGGTTTGCCACGTAACTGTGCCCATCAGAGTATGCTTGTAGCTCACATTCATAAAGCCAGGACGGTTTGCCACTTCATTTTACCCGTTAAAGTATGCTTGTAGGTAACATTCACAAAGGTAGCATGGTTTGGCACGTAATTTTACCCGTCAGAGTATGTTTCTAGGTCTTATTAACAAAGGTAAGATGATTTGCCACTGAATTCTCGCTGTAAAATTATGCTTCTAGCTCATATTAACAAAGGTAGGATGATTTGCCAGTTAATTATAGCTGTTAAAGTATGCTTGTACATCACATTCACAAAGGTAGGATGGTTCGCCACTGAATTTCGTGTTGTGCGCATGCGTAGAAACAGCGGGTAGGATGGTTTGTCAGGTAGGATGGATTCTCAGAACACCGGTCCCCTTTTTTCAGGCTCATCAGGTGCTGATGCTGACTTAAAATATTCAGGTTTTGGAGTTGTTAGTAGTACCCAGTGTGTACCTGTACTGTCATTGATTGCTAACCTACATAACACAGAACATAAATTAACTATTTTTAAAAACACTTTGGATAATTAATGGCATGTCGGAGCAGTAACATTAACAGTTTTACAAACTGTACATATGTAAGGGGTTTCCATTTGTCCTACAGGGAACTTCGAATAGACACTCAACCAAGGGTTTCCTCACCACACAATTATTGCTTACTAGTGTTTTCTGTTCCTGTCTATTGCCACTCAAAGTAAGAGTGTTAGTCGGTTATTTGCTAACTTTGTTTTGTAGCCTTTTTGTGGTGCTTTGTGCATCCACAAATCCCAGAGCCTGAATCCAGTTAAGCTGCTTCGCACTGCCCACAACAGTATCAGCTGTTATTTTAGATAAGCTGCCTTCAACGATTGCATTTTCCTTTTCAACATTAACTTATCTATAGTGTTCTAAACCAGCGGTCTCCAACCTTTTTTGCGCCACGGACCGGTTTATGCCCGACAATATTTTCACGGACCGGCCTTTAAGGTGTTGCGGATAAATACAACAAAATAAACTTAGTACCGGTACCAAAAAAAAGAAGATTTATTCATAACACACGTGAAAAGACCCAGGAAAAAAAGTAAACGATAAAAACGATAACAAAATAACGCTGAAAACCGATAAAAACCCTGAAAACCATACATTTCACACCTGAGCCTCAACTCTCGCGGCCCGGTACCAAACGACTCACGGACCGGTACCGGTCCGAGGCCCGGGGGTTGGGGACCGCTGCTCTAAACATTAGTTTGCCTAGTATTTCCATTATCTCCAGTATGACCTGAGTCGCCTCGAGGTACTTTGAATTGTGAGATAAAGACTTTAAAATAATACAGAGAACATCCTAACAGTCAAACAAACATTTTCATTTTTAATGTAATTTACTTGCTGTTTGCAGTATTTTTTTCTTATTAATCTATTAATATACTGACGATAAAATTCTAATGTCTTCTTTTGGTTTTAGTAATTTTGGGGTGTGTAATGACAAATTAAATCATGACAGCTGTGAACAGCAGGTATGGTTAGACTCCAAAGTTTGCTGCTATGAAAACGTATCACTGGCTTACACGCTGACATGACGTCCTGTGCTAAAACCAAATGAACTGTGTACATGTAGGTGAGCGTCTGAATGAGCGAGTGGCGTGCCACCGTCTGGGCTCACTGTACCACTGTCTGAAACAGTATGAACTGGCTGAGCACTATTACCTGAAGACCCTGACCCTCTGCCCAACACCTCTGCAGTTCGATGAGGAGCCACTGTATTACGTGAGGCTGTACCAAACACTGGGAGACATTATATTCACTGATCTGAAGGTAATGGACTGGGTCATGGATGTGGGTTGTTTTCTGTATTTCAAACAATAAAATGTGAATCTGATGAACATAGTGATCGGCGATATTCCTAAACTGAAATCCTGCCTCGACAGGACCCTTTTGATGCTGCTGGATACTACCACTTAGCTCTCGCTGCAGCCATGGATCTGGGCAACAAAAAGTCTCAGTTGCAGCTGTGCACCCAACTCGCCACCATCTACCACAACTTCATAATAGACCGGGAGCGCTCGCTCTTCTTTTATCAAAAGGCACGAGGATTTGCTGCAGAGCTGAACGCAAAGAGGATAAATATTTCACCAGGCCAGCAGTACAGCAGCGCACAATACAAGAATATAGGACAGTAGGAGGGACACTGCATGAAGACAGGAGATGTTATTTGTTGGTACAGCGTAGACATGAAGCAACGTTTCACACTGAAATCACAAGTTTCACAGTTTTGTTTTCCAACATGATGATAAAGTCAATAATTCCAGAGAAAAAACTGATTTTTTTCAGCAGTTTAAATAATAAAACGTCATAACTCTGAGCCACCGTTGCTGTAAGACGAGCGTGCTAGCAGCATAAACCAGGCATGTACTGAAATCTTATTTTTTTATCACTGAAATGAAATACATGAAATACATAATGAAATATATTTATTTAATATCATTTGTTTTAGGTCACATAGAGGGATCTTTATCTCAAACCTAATTAAGCTCTTTAATTTGATGTTTCTTCCTGAGACGCACCTTGTTTGATGCTGTTTGCTTCCCTGAAATCTGAATGCCCGTGGGTCTCTAACTTTATCTTTTTGTTTGCTTCATATTTCATTTAAACAGACAACTGTGAACAGGTACGTCCTGACACGTGGAAACAGGGAAACACTGTTCACTTGTTAAAATCGACAGCTGGTCACTAGTGAACATCCCAGGCTGGGTCTTATTCATGTAACTTTCATGTACACTTGCTTCTACTTTGATGTGACTTTGATGGGAGAAATAATTATTCGATCCCCTGTTGAATTTTTATGAAATGAATAGTCTTTTACTTCTGTAGTCTAATAGTTCTTTATAATAATTTCAGTTTAATGGAGAGAGACGGAATCTCAAAAAACCCGGAAAGATTAAAGTTACGTGAAGTTGATTGAAAAATTAATTTGTGCATTTTTGATCCCCTACAAGCCAGTTTGTGTAATCTGTGTGCCACAGAGTCAGTCAATTACAAATACTCCTAATCTCAGTTTATGTGTACACTGTATGAGTGTGTTATGGGATCAGCCGCCTCAAGGTCAGAGGTCAAGTTTTCGGAAAATTGTTAAGTGATGACGTGATGAATCCTACTTCCGGGCCTAAAGTAGTCTGCATTTAATATGGCTTTTGTGTTGTTAACATGTTTAATGTT